CTGGCTTTGACAAGCACTGTGGCATTTGGACAAGAACAAACTGGGAGGAGGGTAGAGAGAATAGTGCAACAAGGAATGAATGGAAACCCAAAATCTCTGTAAATGTTTATGAAAATTAATAAAATATAGGAAAAAAAAAGAAGATACAACTAAGCCACAGGAGTTCTAAATAAATAGCAAAGTTATGCAGGCATGCAGGGCATTTATTTAATATTTACTTTTACTTTTGTTTTCTAATGAGAAGATCGCTGACCTAGGAGTCAAAAGAGATCAATTCTAGTACTCATTGGCTTAGCGGTTGTGTTCTACTTGAAACAGAAAAACCTTTGTAATGACAGAATCAAATCCTGACTGCTCTCTGTTAACCAAACACACAGTGCTGTAGAGTACATTGCAACTCATGGTGACCCGCCATCATTTGTTCTTTGTTCTTTAAAAAAAACTGTATGTGCTGGGGGTGGGGGTGGGAAAAAGAAACCCAAACAGAAAACCTGTATGTGCTGCAGAAGGTCAGTCTGTTCAAGATGAAGAAGTTTTATTTGGAAAAAACGGAATAGAGGAAGAGAAGACGAGAGCAATGACCAAGAGAGACTGCTGAAAAAAGGGAGACTCCAGCAACTTCAGTGACTAAGGATGGCAGAAGAAGAATTGGTGCCTTTGAGTCATCGTGTTGGAGAAAAGTGTTGAACATGCACCGTGGACTGCAAAGATAACAAACAGGTCTGTCCTGGAGAGGGGGGAACCAGGTTGATCCTTGGAGGCAAGGATTTTGAAGCGCCATCCCATGTATTTTGGACATGCAGCCTGGGGGCAGCAGTCCTTGGAGAATGACATCATGCTTGGAAGAGTAGAGGGTCAGCTGGATGGGATGGGTTTACATGACTGTGGCATGGGGGCAGGTTTGTCTGAGACAGTGAGACTGGCTCAGGATAGGGCAGCATTCAGAGCTATTGTGTCTATAGGGTCACTATGAGTTGCAGTTGACTCGATGGTACATAATAACAGCAATTGCTTTTTTTAATGAACATGATAATTTTTTTTTACTTCTCCCTTGCTTTGCAACTTTGTAAACCCTTCAAGATTGGTTATATTTATGCATAAATCTTTCTTTAGTTTTTTTATATTATTGACCTTACAGAATATTCCTCTGTGAGCTTTGTATTTTCTACATTGTGATTTTTTTTAATAGTTGTCTTAAGTGTTGCTTGGCTCCACAGTCAACACTCTTGCCACCAGCAGCCAGGAAATTAAAAGGCGTATTGCGATAGGACGATCTGTGGTTAGAGACCTCTCTAAAGTGCTGAACTGCAAAGATGTCAGTCTGGAAACTAAGGTGCATCTGATACAGGCCATGGTCTTTGCAATCACTTGGTATGCATCAGAGAGCTGGACAATGACTAGAGATAATAGAAGGAGAATTGATGCCTTTGGGCTGTGGTGTCTAAGAGAGTATTGAATGTATCATGGACTGCTAGGAAAACAGATTTGTCCTGAAGAGGGTGAAGCTGGGCTGCTCCTTGGAGGCAAAGATTCTGAGGCTTCGTCTGACATACTATAGACATGTTGCAAGGAGGGATCAGTCTTTGAAGAAAGATGTCATGCTTGGGAGAGTGGAGGGACAGCGCAGGAGAGGAGACCCTCAATGAGATGGATCGATTCAGTGACTGGGGTAATGGGGGTAGGTGGGTCGGAGATAGTGAGATTGGCACAGGATAGGGCAGAATTTAGGGCTGTTGTACAGAGGGTTGCTATGAGTCACAGGTGACTCGATGGCATATAACAACAAGAAGTGGATGAATGAGATACCCAAGCTCAGCATCAGATTCTACTCCTCCTCTCTCCCTTTTCCCCAGTAACTATTCATTCTTTTCCTCCGGCGTGTCCACTCTCCCTTTGCTCGACAGAGATCTTTTTCTCTGCCCTAAACTTCCCTAAACTTCTGTAACTTCTTATTCTCCTTCCCTTTATCTCACCCTCCATGCCTTCCATTTTCTATATAATTACTTATTATTTTTTAATTTTCTCTTTGTTCCCTTTGCTTCATCTGTATTTAATTGAGATGATATATTTGAAAATGTTTCAAATATAAGATGGAAAATCTATTTAACATTTTAATACTTTATCCTTAAAAAATAACTAAACCTTTTTTGGTCCTTTAAGTTTCCAAAAATATGTATCTCTATTGTTCCTGTTGTCTAATTTTATATTACTAAAATAATCTCCCCCCTTCCTACCGAAAAATTGGAATTGAGGGTTTGAGTAATAAGGAAGGGAGTTTAAAGATTTGATAAATATTTAATTCAATTTGTGTCTGTAAAACACTGGCTATATGAAAGGTTCATTAGTGTATGTTGGAGTCAAAACCAACTCATAGCTGACCTCCAGTGGGTTTACAGAGGCAGGAAATTGCATGGGAGGAGAATGCCTATCTTCTGCAGAGGAGACTAGTGGATTCGAACCACTTGTCTTTGAGTTGGCAGTGCAGCTCCTTACCATTAGGAAAGCTCCCTATATAACAGGTTTAGCAAACTCAAAGCACTAAGATTTAGAAAATTGTATTAATAAAGTAAAAGCCTAATATTAAGCAAGAAATTACCGAATCAATCCTGTGTATCGTCTTGTACATTTTGAGTGACTTATCCCATGTAACTCTGTTTTCAGGTAGGTAGAGAAATTCAGATAGTTTACTTGTTGGTTGTGGAATTATCCCCTCAACACGGTAGCTATTGTTAGTAAAATAAAGAAGATTCAAGTTTTACCAAATAAGCTAAACTGAAAATATAATTCTATTAAAGTATAAAAGTATGTTAATTTAACAAATAACAAAGAAAACTTGAAGGTAATATATCAGCAGTTCAGTACACTACTAATATGAACTGGAATTGGCCAGGTTTATCTATTTATACATTGGAACAATTAATGTTTATGAACAACTTAAAAATTATTTTTCTACAAATTTTACTCGTGTTTCTATAGCTGCTTTTATTTTAGTTAAGAGCATTTTAAAATATATCTAATCAACTTTTGCATGCTATATTTATCATAAACCAGTAATAAATGGATAAGAAATTTATATAGTTAAACAGCATCTTAATTTAAGGATGTAATGTGGTTTAGAGTAAGCATTTGCAAACTTTGTGATAGAGGACCAGAGAGTAACTAATTTAGGCGCTGTGGCCATAAGATTTCTATTGCAGTTAATCAGATCTGCTGTATGTTAAAATAGCAATTCCAGGCAATATGTAAATAATTACCATCGCTGGATTCCAATGAGATTACTTCTGGATGCTGAACTTCATATCATTTTTACATGTCATGAAATATTTTTGCTTTGATTTTGTTTCAACCATTTGAAAATGCAGAAACTGTGCTTAGCTTGCATAAGTAGACAGTGGACTAGATGTGGCCCACAGGCTAAATAGTTTGTCAATTCAGAGCCCAGAGGAGCTAATATTATCCTGAGTTAGTCTAGATTCTAGCTTAAAGTTAAAAACGTGATCATGTGACTAACATTTATGTGGATTTGTTTAATATTTAATATTGATAGTAATTAATATTAAGACATTTGTTTAATATTATAGAAGTGTGAGGAAAAAAAAAAGAAGTGTGAGGAAACGGAATTAATACTATTTAGCAGAAAACTGTTTCATGCAAATGAAGTCTGAACAATAGATACTCTTTTTCTCTGGTAATCATTCTATTTTCTTTTAAACACTGTATAGTTGAAAACGCATACGGCCATTGAGGCAGAACTGACTCAGATGATCCTCCTTTAATAGATTTTCTGAGCCTGTAAATCACACATGGGACAAGATTTCCCCGAGGATTCCCTGGTGAATTTGAAGTTCTGAGAGGTGCTACCCTTTGGGAGTTGCAACTCCAAACCAAACTATGCACTAGAGCATCCCTTTACTAATTATACCATTTGGAAGCAGGCGTGGCATCCACTTCCTAAACAACATGCCTCTAGAAACTCTATGAACTTTGATTAATGTCAATACTTATAGAAAGGCTTCAGGCCTTTTGTTCATAGAGTTGCTATGAGTCGTGCTCGACTCGACAGCAATCAACAACAACAGTTATACCATTGGGTGCTCTGGTGGCCTAGTGGCAAGACACTTCGCTGCAATCCCGAAGGCGTGCAGTTCGAGGCCACCAGCTACTCTACGGGAGAAGGATGGGCAATCTACTCGCATGCAATTAACTGCCTCCAAAAACTCGCTGGAGGGCCAGCTATGGGTCGCTTCCAACTCTCTGATACACAACAACAACAATTATACCTTATTTTCTCAGACTAATTTTTCACATTTTTCTTATGGTACAGAAATGTTTAATTTTAATGTTGACCCTCTAGTGGGTTTTCAGAGACAAGTTAATCCCTAGGAAGGAGATTGCCCATCCTTCTCCTGTGGCAGCTGTTGGCTTCAGACCATGTGCCTTTGGGATTGCTATGCAGCTTCTTGCCCCTAGGCCACCAGAGCTCCCTAATTTTAATGTAGCCAAATGTTGTAATATAGTCCATGATGGTTTATGCTTTTTATGCCTTCTCTAATATCTAGTTTTCCACATCAGGACCATTAAGATATTTTTCTACATTTTATCGTAAAATTTTATAATTTCATGTTTTACATTAAGGATTATAATCTACCTGATAGATATTTTTGTAGGGTGTAGGATATGTTATTCTTTTTACATATGAAATATCCATTATCTCAGCATAGCTTATTGAATCCATGTCCCATTGTTTTCTTATATGTCACATATTCCATGTGTGAAATTAGAGTTCATATATTATCGTAAAATCTGACATATTAAATTCCCCAGAAACGATACAACCAACCCAAACCACTGGGACAGCGTCAGTTCTGAGTTTGGAGACCCTAAAGAACAGAGCAGAACAGTCTCATTGGGTTTACCAAGGCTTTTACAGAAGCAGACCACCCAGCTTTCTCCTGAGGGGCTGGTGAGTTTGGAATTGGAACCTTTTGGTTACTAGGCAAATGCCTTAATCACAGTGCCACCAGAATTGCTCAGAAAATATAGGCACATATTAAAAATTCTCTAGATTGACTCTGGTTTATAATAACTCATAATATTTTTTTAATATATATAATTGCATGGTTTCTTATTGTGGTTGTTAGGTGCTATCAAGTCAGGTTCAATTCACAGTGGCCCAGGGTGTGACAGAGAAGGTTTTTGTGGCTACAATGTCTATGCATGCATCTGGGTCTTTCTTCTTTGGGACCGCTGGGTGTGTTCAAACCTGCAAACTTTTAGATCAGCTGCTAGAAGAAATACTTTGAGCCACCCAGGAACCTAACTTAAGATAGCAAAAGTCCACGTTTCTAATCCACCAGATGCTCTGCTGGAGAAGGAGAGGAAATCTCCTCCTGTACCAGTCAGATCTGATTTGATAGTACACACATAAAAAATAATAAAATAAAAAATAAAAAAAGATAGCAGATCTGATTTGATAGTACACACATAAAAAAATAATAAAATGTAAGAAAAATATAGCAAAAGTAAAATATCTCTTCCTAAGAACTATTAACATGACAGTGAGAAAGCTCGCCAGCCTAATCTTGTGACTTACTGTTATACAAGGAAATGTAAGTCAGATTTAAAAAAAGCAATAAAGACAAAGCAAGTGATTTGAAAGAAATAATAGAATCCAAAAGAAAAACATTTAATAAAACCGGCTTAATAACAAACTACTCATAAACAGATGCTTTGATAGCATTAATAGCATGAACAATAAATGAACAAGTCTAAACAATAAGGTTAGCACAATTTCCATTAATATTCTTGCACTGAAACAAGAAGATCCTCAAAATGTCCTTAAAAGCAGCTTATAGGGGGAAAAATTGCATATACCAGCAAGAGAAATGAGAAAATAAAATATTTCTTAATGGTTCATTTAATGAAAAGATGAAGCAGTTAAATGACAATAAACTACAACTCTAAGAAAATACTAATATGCCTTTACAGCAATTCTTTATCTATGCTGTATTTTTTACATAGTAATTTTTGTTATCAAATCTTACTTATTAAACTATTCACTAGAAATATTTTTCCTGATTATCTTCAGATTTGAAAGTAAATTATTAGAACATAAAATTTATTATGATTACATTTCCAATCTGATGATTTTATAGTTAATTTCTATCTCTTCATCATTATCAAATAATTTGCTAGAGTTAATGAGGCAGTGTTGAATTTAAAACAATGCTTGTAAATAGAAAATTGTACTTACATATTTCCATTGAAATTTTTAGAAGCCTTGCTGTAAACAGTTATATTTTTCTCAAAGGGGGAATAAAAATCCACAAATAAATTAGCTGTCAGGTACAGAAAAAATGAAAAGGAAAAAAAAAAATAAACCCCCAAACAAAAGCAGAGTACATTTCTTTGGTTGTTTATAAAACAAATGTTTCTTTTTAAAAGTTTTTACAAGTAGCTGTTATCATTTTTAAAAACCAAACCAAAACAAAAATACAAAAACACAACTCTTGAAATCTTACTGAGGTTTTCACCAATTTCCAGCCAGTTGTGTCCTGAATGTAACCTAAAACTTCTTGAGTACTGTTCTGGGCAATTGCTTTGAAGTCCATATACCTATAAAGTTTGAAAAGTCAATGATTAGTGAGAGTGTCATCCTACAAAAGAAAATGACATTATGCCATGTTACATGCTAAAACTATTTCTAAAGGCCTGGCATAGTGCCATGGCAATAACCATTTGCTGAGTGTGGATTCATATGAACAATTTTTGTCTTCACAACTGTCTTTCAAATGAGAAATGGTGGGATAGTAGAGACAGCACAGGCTTTTGGAGTCAAAGACACCTGGATCAGGTGTGTGAAACACATTACTTAGAAACATATTCTTTTCTGACTCCCCATTTTCCTCCTGTTGTAAAATTGGGATACCTATCTTGTGAATTAGCATGGAGACTGAATGACATGAGGTACTACAATGTGTGAAATACAAAAATTGTTCTTTTTCTACCAGCCTGTTCATGCTTCTTTTTCCTTGTAAACCACTATAATGTGTTGATTGAGGATTCCTGGAGATGAATATTTTTTAGAGTGAGTGGCAGTACATGATCTGACCCTTGGCTTCCTCTCTAACCATATGTCAAGAGCATATTGTTAGAGGTTTAGAATGGAGCTTTGTAAAAGGAGCAGATACAGTGTGGGGAGAGCCAAGTTTGACTTCTCACTTCATAAAGGGGAACTGTCCCCATCGTAATATCCATAGTACCAACTAAATAGCTACATGATCAGACATGCCACCTGCAGTCAATTTTTGTTGCAAACTGACTCACAGACTTTATTCACAGTTGTGGGATTTATTGAGGAAATAGTTTAGGGCGTGACGGAGACAAAGGATCTCGCATAGTCAGTCCAGGTTTAGTGAACAGCAGCTCCAAGCAAGACTAACATCAAGACACAACTCCTCAATTAGTTCAGACAGCTTCTCAGCCAACAAGAGGAAGTCTAGGTTCAGTTCAGCAGCATAAATAAACATCGAATTTTCCCAATCATCCGGTAAGCTTTGTCTCATAGCAATCACAAGTCAGCTCTTCATTCAGCCATCCAGAAGTAAAATCTTTAACTTTGGCTCCATTTCCAGGGTTCTGTCAGGCTCTGACCTGACAGTCTCTTCACAGTCTCTCTACAGTGTGGAAAGTGCTCTCTCTTATATTGGTCCCACAGCTGTTGATGATTTGAAAGACCTATGTGTTCACAGTTGAGGTAGCTGGAGATCATGACCTCAGCAAGGGAAAGCACAATGAATGAAATGCCATTTTTCAAAGTTCTAACACCACAAGCTTCTAAAGTTAAGGTTTGGAATAGCAGAAGTTAGTAAGCAAGTGTGTATTAGATGATGCTAAAAGGAGAACTTGCAGAGCCCCAACTCTGGTGACACCCTTAGCCTCTACTAACCAGAAGATGCTGTATCAAACCCAGAGACTTAATGTGTTAAGTAGAAGATGCTGTGTTAGGCCCAGAGACTCAATGTGTTAATCTAAAAAGAAACACCTTGATTCTAATTGGCTGTACTTGTTTCTGAGAGACTTTTAACTGTGGAAACAACTCTGCATAGAATGACATTTAAACTAAACTCTCAAGGCTGCACACCAGAGGCATCAGAAGACAAAACCCTTGCAGGTCAAAATCTTCCACTCTCTGCAGGTCGCTGCTGGATTTTGCAACAAATTGTGTCCACTGTGGTGAGCATTTTTGCTTATACTGAATACTAGCTATGATGTGTCTAGTTACTAGGTATAATTGTTTGGATACGAATGCTAAGATTTGAATTGCCTTTTAATGGCTTACCTTAGTATTGATATTGTAGTTGTTATATGACATTGAGTCACCTGTGACTCATAGTGACCCTGTACAATAGCTCTGAAATCTGCCCTGAACTGAGCTAATCTCACGGACTCTGACACACCTACCCCCATTGCCCCAGTTACTGTTATCAATCCATCTCATCCAGGTTCTCTACCCTTCCAAGTGTGATGTCCTTCTACAAGGACTAGGCTCTCCTGGCCATGTGCCAAAGTATGTCAGATGGAGCTTCAAAATCCTAGACTCCAAGGAGAAACTTGCTTTCACCCTCTCCTAGACAGATTTGTTTTCTTGGTGGTCCATGCTGTTATGTTCAAGACTCTTTTCTAGCACCACACCTCAAAGGCATCAATTCTTTTTCTGTCATCTTTAGTAATTTTCCAGCTCTCTGAAGCATAGCAAGCAATGTGAAGACCATGGCATTGATATTATGTGAAATTACAAATAAGTTTCAAGACCCTGTGGCCCCCAGTAAAGTGTGTGGTTTATGTTTATAGCACCTCTCTCCAGAATTCTCTGTGTCATAAGCCCGTGCGATACACTATACTTCTTTCCTCAGTTCTTGCCCAGGTAGCTCCAATCACATTGCTCTTAGGACTATTCCTCAAAGACAGTGGGATAGTTTCCTACCTCACAGCATTTCCATTTGATGACCCTTCTCTTTGGATCATCCTTTCCAAATATATTCACATGACTGACTCCTCTTCTGGTATTTTTGCTTCAGTGTCATCACAGTTCAAATCAAATTAAAAGCAATTCCATTTTAACACAAGACTTAACGTGAAAACACTTGGCTGGTTTTTGTTTTTAAATACTCCCTCCCCCACTGAACCCTTGCTATGGTAGATATGACAAAAACAGTTGAGTAAGATACTGTCTTTGCTCAGAATGTGACAACACAAAGCTAGATACAAATCCTGCTTTGCTACTAACCACCAGCTGCATTATTTTGGTTAAAATGCTGAACTTCAATTTCCACAGCTATAGAATACAGCTGATACCACTAATATCATGAAGTTGTTCTCTGGATTAAGTGAGCTAATGTATGTAAAAGATCTCAAAGATGAAGGGCCAATTAGGAATGATAAAAAAATGTTAGGGTCTGAAAATGGTCACATTAAAATCCATCCTTTAAGGATTTTCCAAAGAGCTATCTTCTTAAAACACCTCAAGAAACCATTTTACTGTTTAGTTATTAAAAACAATCTTCTTTAGTTCTCACCTAAATAGATTCTCTTGTCTGATTCTCCAGCACGCCACAACAACTTGCTGGCATCTTTTTTATTTGAAAAGCTTAGTGGATCATTAACTTCTTCATCCCTAGGAGATGGTTTACCTTTCTTAATCTAGTCCAGAATTGTAACTACTGGGACTCTTCTCTGAATCCTCCTGTAACTCTCCATATCTCTTAACCTGTGATGGAACAAAATGGAAATAGAATCATTCTGGTCCATGAGCTAGATAAAGTGATGAATTCCTTTGTATTTATTTACATGTTATAGTTTTTGACCTTCAGGAGGAAACAGCTGTTACAAATGTTCCAGGACAGAACAAAAAGACAGTATGATGAATTTTATGTTTATGAAACTATTTACTGTTTATGAGAATCATACGTTGTGCATACTACTGGAGCCCACTTCTAAGCTGTAAGCTCCTGGGCTGGCAAAGGAGTGTGAGTGGTTATGGCACGCTGGTGCTGCTTTCTAAAGTCGATGGTTTGAACCTAGCCACTCGGGGACAAAGATGTAGCAGCTTCTTTAAAGGATTACAGCCTTGGAAGTCCCGAGTCAGTTCTACTGTCCCACAGAGTTCACTAGGAGTTGGAATTCACTCCCTGGAGGTGAGAGGTGGGAGACTGATAATCTCACCGCCACAATAAATGTGTTTCTTATTGAATCACTATTTTATACTTTCAGGACTTTTTTCCTTTGCTAAAAGAAAAGGTGAGGTTAAAGTTTAGCAGGCACGGGACGGTTGGGGGAAAAAACCAAAGGGCAAGGCAAACAGCTGAATTACCTGGTGGTGCCACTTGGGACGAACAGGCACATATTCAGATGGAGTCAAGGTCAAGGATATCTTCCCGGGTTCAGTGGAAAAGAAATACAAATCAACATTGAGATGGCATCTTTTTTGGATACACTGTTTTGTTGAAACGGGATTCCTGGCACTTCACATGCCGCCCCAGCCTTACAAATAGGGTCACGGATGTTACTGGGGTTTTACACCTGTGTGTACACTGTCTCTGCCGCTTCTGGGCCACCTGTATGGGTCCCCAGTGCGTGCTGGGTCACAGACATTTATTCCTCCCTGGGAATCAAGGTCCCCTAGGAGTTTATTCAACCACACCATTGGCCAGATTTGGCTTATCTAATCCCACATCTGCTTTGGTGTGAGGGATGGAAACGACAAGACGAAGGGACAGTGATCAGGAAGAGTAAGGAAAAGGTGGAAAAGACTCATTTCTACGTGTTATTTTCTAGGGCCCCAGCCCGAAACAACCCCTTGTCCTTTAAATTCCTTGTCCCTCCCGTCACACAATCCAGGAGCCGGCCATTGTTAGCTCAGCCGGTCACCTACGCCGAGAGGCCTGGGACAGCACTGATGGCGAGGACAGAGAAGAATAAAAGTTCTGGGGCGCCTCCCTCCCCAGCCCCGGAGGGATGGGGAGCAAAGAACTACAACCCCCAGAAGGCGTTGCGACCCGACCTCCGACGCAGGCTGCGCCCTCTGCCTGCGCCACGCAAGCGCGCGCATGCGCCTCGCCGGCTGGCGCCATACTCAGGCTGTTTGAAAGCGAGCGCGGGCGACGCGCGCCGCAGTGACGGCTGCGGGAGCGGCGTGGAGGCGGAGGCTGGGGCGGGGCCGAGGCGGGGTCGAGGCGGCCGCTCTAGGGCGCGTCCCGCCAGCTAGCTGACCTGGGCGAGGCTCGGTGAGTGAGGGTGGACAGCGGAGGACATCGCAGCCTTGGCTGAACCCCGGGGCAGAGCCAGGATGGCGAGGTGATCAGAGGAGGGACGGACCAGAGCTTCAGACGGAGGGCTGCGGGGCGGAAGAGGGCCCTGGACAGGACGGGGGAACATGGTTTGGGGGGGACTCGGATGCCCAGGGCGTCGCCTCGGGAACACTTTCCCCCTCTGTCCGCTGTCAGCGCGCGGGGGTGGCTGCTCAATAAAAGATCTCGAAGTGAAAAGTCACATAAGTTTGTGTCTGTCTCTGACCGGGGTGGTGGAGCCCCTAGGGCTGCGCGTTCGAATCCAGGTGGAGCCGTGTGAACCTGCGCGCCCGGGCTGGGAAGGATGCTTGCTAGTGTCATTTTTGCTGGCGTTGATCTTTTGCAAAATTTTTCCAACTTGTTTTCTAACTTAATTGCTTCTGAGATATTTCAGCTGGTTAGGAAACACTGAACATTTCTTTTTTTTTTCCCCAACAGTGTTGTTGTAGTTAGATGCAGGGCAGTCGAAATGACCCATAGCGACCAGTGAACGGCCATCTGAAGCCTGTCCATCTCTGTCCTGCTTCATCCTGAACTTCCTGACACACTAGAGCCCATTGCGGCAGTCACCTGACAGTCCACCTGGTCGAGGACCCATCTCATCCGGGGTCTTCCTCTTCTGCCCTATACCTCCACCCTTCTAAGCATGATGTCTTTCTCCAAGGGGTCTTGATGTCCTCAAACCTGCTCTTGAGATGATTTTTAAACTCAGCTCATATTCTGGGCGTTGTGGACTTGTATGAATTTTCTTCGACTTCGGTTTGAACTTGGCACGATGGTCTGTTCGACAGTCAGCACCGGGCCAGGTTTTAACTGTACATATTGAACTTATCCACTGTCTCTTTCCACAGATGTAGTCAATCTGATTCCTGGGCTGTCCATCAGGTAATGTGCATGCTTATAGTTGCTGTCTGTATTTCTAAAAAAACAGTATTTGCGATGAATAAATCATTGTGCAAAATCCAATCATTTGATCTCTGGCCTTATTTCTGTCACCAAGCACATAATTTCCGACTACCATTCCCCTCTCTTTTGTTTCCAATGTTTCTTTCCAGTCACCCATTTATTTATGAAGTTCTGAAGCTGGGAAACTGGGTTATAATTCTCAGTAAGAGGGCAGTTAGCATTTACTAGTTATTTTAATTAGTAGAACCTACTATGATGATGAAAAGACAGAATTTTGCCCGTTTTAATAAAGGAAAAGTAGTCAGATGAATGAATGCATTACATGAATTTCCAGATTATGTAAAATCCATTGTTACTGAGCCCAGTCTGACTTTAATAAAATGAGATAATGATTTCTGTTATATGGTGTTGCAGGGATGCACTCCACCATAAGGTTTTTCTTGGCTGGAATCTTTGCAGAAGCAAATCTCTAGACCCTGTGGCATGGCAGAGTGGGCGCCAACTAGTTAGATTTGAGTCAGAGTCCGTCTCCTCACCCCCACACCCTTACTCCCCTAAATTTCTGTTAAAAAACACCTCGGCTGAGTGTCTGGAGCATAAGAATTGAAATAGGGTGGTAACAAAAAAAATAAAGGTCAGAAAATGATTATTGACAATGTTTGAAGAAAGAGACTTATTACTAGTTTCTTCTGTAATAATTGCATTTTAGTTTTTCAGATTAAAAGACTGAAAATGACTTTGTTCTCTTGAGATTTTAATTTGGGGCGTGTGTAGGGAGATTTGGCTCTATAGACAGATCTCCAGTTCAGAACTTAATCTAGTTTTTCCACGCATTGTGCTTGCCCTTCCCCTCCATATTAGAGGTACTGGATTGCATCCAGTGTTGCCGTCACGATTTATTGATATTTGATGTCATCGTCCTATTGTCTTCACTTACAGTGTTTATTGATAATGTTTTCAAATCCCCGAAGACAAAGATTTAAGAAGATGCTGATAGTAATTATCAGGCAAATGATAATGAAAACTCAAGGGAGGGGAAAAAAATCAACCTAAAGAGAAGCCATTAGAATGGAACCTTGCTATAAGTCGGGGATTACCTGTAGTCATGGGTTAGTATTTACAGCATGGAAAGTGGAGAATCCTCTTTGTTGTTTCTTCTTGTTTTCCAGCACTTATTTGATACATTAAAGTATCTGTTGAACCAAGGATTGTGACTTGGGAAATAATTCTGTCCAGAGGCTTGTTATTGTGATGTCATAGAGTATATCACGATCAGAAAAAGGCTGCATCTGTAGTTTTTAGGACTTTTAAAATGTGAGTACTTTTTACTTGATACCTTCCATATACCTTCTAAACACATAGTACTTAATGCTAAATCACCAATGAAGAAATTTAAAATAGCATGTTGCTAGGAGAGCCTATTCCTTGGAGAGATATATCATGGTTGGGAAGCTGGAGGGTTGGCAGAAGACAGGAAGACCCTCAACCACATTGACACAGTGACTGCTGCGGTGAGCTCTAGTGTATCAGGAAGTGTGAGGCTGGCACAGAATAGGCCAGGGTTCAGATCTATTGTTCATAGGGTCTCTATGGATCATACTCAACTTGCCGGCACCTAATAACAACAACGTAATAAAAAAACCCCAAAAACCTCCAGAATCAGTACCAAAAAGGAGTACTTCTAATGACTGGACTTTATTTGTTAAATTGTAAAAATAAAGATTTTGTTATTTCTTTGCACAGGACCATTATTCATTTTAAATGGAGCATTTCTCTTCTGCTTTGTATTACAGTTTTAAGAGAAATGAATAGAAATAACCTATTTTGAGGAAGCCATGGCAAAATCACATACAAAACACAGAACTTGCTCTCGAGAATCTTCCGTGACTTCTCTTCTGGCAAGCTGCAGTCTGAGTAGGAAGAATTCGTCTAATTCTGATGGCTCTTTTCGGTATAAGGATAAACTATACGGCTCTGCCTCCCAGGCTCTGCAGGCTTACATTGATGATTTCTATCTAAGTCAAGTGTATCCTGGTACAAGCACCGGAAAGGCGAACACTGGCAAAAGTTCCGTTAATACGTCAAAATTCTCTCCATATATTTTTAAAAACAATGGTATGCTTCTAGTTTTTTGTTTGTTTGTATTCAGCACTTTGAGAAATATATTGTCTTGGAAAAACTAAACTTTTTTGTTGTTTTGTACCTTTGGGGTAAAAAAAGTCTCATAATATTGAGAATCTGGTTTTGTACTATGGACTGCATTACTAGATCTTCCATAATAACAGGAAACTGGATATTTTTATGAAATAATTCTGTAATGTCTGATTTCCAGGAGATTTTAGCTCAGACCCTCTTTTGACCTTGTAAGTGGAAGTTGGTGAATGTTACTGGTCACAGCAGGTTACCAGTACTTCATTGCAGTATATTGCAAAGAACATTGGCTTGGTAGTGCTACGATTCATTAGCTTAATGACTTTGAATAAGTCTCAATCTTAATACTTGGTGTATTAACAGGAGAAGACTGTATTTGCTGTTGCGTGTCATCAAGTAGGAACTGACTCATAGCTGACCCTTCAGTGGGTTTTCAGAGGCAGTAAATAACATGGGAGGAGATTGTCCCTCTTTTCTCCCACGGAGCAGCTAGAGGATTTGAACTGTAAGCCTTTGGGATGGGAGTGCAGCTAGGCCACCAGAGCTTCCTAAAGTCATTCTGTGGAACATTTGTCATTGTTATACCGGAACCAACTCACAGCTGACCCTGTAGCGGCTTTAGAGTCTGTAAACCATATGAGAGGCGATTTCTCCCTTGCCTATGGGTTGTCACAGCAACTCAGCTACCAGAGTTCCCCCAATGAAACAATAGTATTTGCCAATTATTGAATTCTTCCTTGATAAGTTTTTCATAGTGACAAGTTTGGAAAATAAAATTGTGGATGAGCATATTAGCTACTGATTACTTAGAAAGTAGGTCTAAAATGAAAACGCTTACTTACATTCAGGTCTTAGGGGGATAATGGGTACTATATTAGCAATGCACTTAATTGTTTACTTACTTATATGCTATAGCTAGCATTGAGAGACTGATATTAATGTGATTGTATTAGTCCATTGGGTTTGTCTAGAAGAAAGTTGAAGTAAGAGTGAATTAGAGAACACAGAAATATTCAGGAAGTTGGAGAGAAAAGATGATAACATCTATATTGTCAACTTAAACCTTTTTACTTTGAATCAAAGAAAGGGGAAAGTGGAAAAATTATACATAAACTTTTCATTTCTGTTGTATATTATTATCAAGAGTGTGTATGTGACACAGAAAGACAACTAGAGCTCTGCTTTGTTTTTTAGCTTGTGAAAACCTTGATGACAAGAAGAACTCAAAGTCGTTATCCTGTAGAAAAGAGCTGATTAATGACCTAGACTCCATTAGCCTAACTACCGATGATCTGTTAAAACTTCCAGCAGATGGATCATTACCTTATGTCAGACCAAGTCACCAAACTAACAGAAAAAACACGGAATGCTTCAGAAGACCCAGTTCATCAGACATTGAAAAGAATATACATTTTCAAGAACCCATCTTTCCTGTGGGCAAGGATAACTTGGTCACTTCTCATATATACACAAACCATAATGGAAAGCACCGTGTCAAGCTAAAAAAACCCAAAAGTTTGAATAAGACTAATAAATGTGTTTCTGAACCATCTTTATCCAGGAAGTCATCTTCCAGGGACATTTCAGAACATGATCTTGAAAAGAATTATCCGAGATGGCTAACTAGCCAGAAATCTGACCTTAATATTTCAGGAATAACTAGTATCCCTGATTTCAAGTACCCTGTCTGGCTTCACAAAGACGACTTGCTACCTGATACGAACAGTCAGAGGACTTACGAGACCTTTAAAGAAGATCATTGTTCCCCTAAACACAGTTACCAGGCACAAAGAAGTCCTCGGCTTACAAAGAAGTCGGATTGTTTAGAATATCCCTTTGAACACTCTAACTTGTATTCTGTGGATGGCAAGAAAGGAGTAGATAAGGAATATAAATGTGATTTTGAACGTGGCCAGTGTCAGTATGAGAACCCACTTCAAGGACAATCCAAAAAGCCTTTCAGTGGTAATTTTTTGGTTTTTTTCAACCAAATGAAGCACTATAATTTTATAAATTTATAGTAGCTAGAAACTTGTTTTACTCTTTAAGGATCTGTTGTTTTTTCTTAATGGTGTCTGTTTATGTAGCACTTTGTAACTAGAATGTATCCTTTTCCCTCTTTTATCTTTGCTTGAATGTCACTTTTAACATAACCTGCTATTATTATAGATATGTCTGTATTCCAAACTACCTGTATTGCTGCTTTTGTAAAACTTTATGGGACTTTGCATTTTTTCATAAAGAAGTAATACAATCTTTTTAAACTAGATGACAAAATTGAATTGCTCATCCTGAAAGCCAAGCGAAATCTAGAGCATTCTCCTGAAGACTTACCAGACGCTGTGAAGAATGATGGCAGTCCCTGCTCCCTAGATAAACTTGAAGCAGAAAGATCATGGGAAAATATCCCTGTTCCTTTGTAAGTAAGCAACGTGTAAAAGTGATTTAGCTTTCTAAATGCAAAATGTCACAAGATGCTCTGATTTAATTTTTACAGAACAGTGATTATTTTATATAGCTTGCCAGCTGAAAGGTTTTAATGTTGCTTATTTAAAAAGTACATTTTTCATTTGCTACCACTAGGTGGTGTAATGTTTTATACCACAATGTATAACTTTGTTCTTTATTCCTTTTGTTTTATTATAAAAACATTTACCTGTCAGAGTCGGTGAGACTGGCTCAGGATTGGGAAAGCTTCAGAGCTGCTGTACATAGGGTCACTGTGAGCCACAGGTGACTTTATGGCACATAACAACAACAACATATTTTAATTTGAGAAATTAAAGCTAAAACAATTTTGCAGACAGAGGAGTGTTATGAAATTCTTCTTTAAATTTAATCACCTGCTTCTTTATCTTTTTTCCATATGCTGGCGTCATGTGTTTCTTTTTTCTGTTTCTCTTAAAGGAGCTCTGGTGGCCTAGTGCGTGAGGAGTCGCGCTGCAAGCCTAACGGCAGCTCCTCTCTGGGATGGCAGCACAGCCCCTGAGCACTAGGCTCCCAGAGCTTGGCAGCCCCTCTCCAGCAGTTCGAATCCCCCACGAGTTCCTTAGGAGAAGGATCGGCAATCTCCTCCTGGGTGGGTTACAGCCTCTTAATGGAGGGTCAACTATGAGTTGATTCCAATTTGACAGTCATGTTTCACTTTGTGCTTCAGTCATTTTTTCCTTAAATGGTTGTGTATTTTCTTGTCTTCTGTATAAAACTATGGAATATATAAAATTATTTGTGTACCTGTGACTCATAGCAACCCTGTCTATAGTTCTGAAACCTGCCCTATCCTAAGCCAGTCTCACTAACTGACAAACCTATCCCTATTACCCCAGTTATTACATCAATAAGATTCTCAGGTGAATAGCTGAGTACTTAGTTACAAACACTTTTGTAGTATGTAAAAAAAAAAAAAAGGAATGAGTTTATTCTCTATGACTAAGAACTTCTTTTTAGGAGCATTCTCATGTTTTTGCTTAAACATAGCCTTTATTCTCTCACCTCTTGAATACCAGGAAAGAAGCTCTTGCATCTTTTAAATGTATTAAATGTCTTCAGTTTCCTTAAAGTTTTTCTGTATAACTTTAACCAAAACCACAGCATTGCCATTGAATTGATTCTCACCAAGGGCAGCCCCCTATGTTATAGAAAGAACTGCCCCCTAGGGCTTGCCTGGCTGTAATCTTTGCAGAAGCAGCTGGCCAGATTTATCAAGTGCAGCACTGCTGACAAGTTTGAATCATCAGCCTTTAGATTAGCAGTTACACACTTCGTACCACCCAGGTGTGTACCACCCAGGTTCCTACTAAAGCGTTAAAGTCCCTGATAAATCTGTTTCTTCTTGATGTCTTCGCCAATGTCTTTGCACTTAATGCTTGTACCTTTTAATTAGCACCTTTTTATAATTGCTGCATTTATAAAATCAATATCTCACTACCAAATTCTTGATCAATGCATTTGATTACATTAAGATAAATACATCTGTTAATTTAAATAAATTAGTTTCATGTTTATAATTTTTTTTCTTAAGTGTGAATCACTTTAAAATTACTTACACTGTATGTTTTATACTGCTTTGAACAGCCAGCAAAGATTTATTGAATGCCCACTTGAAGAAAATGAATTATTTTGAGGACTTAAAAATTTAAAATAGAGCAAGATTCAGATCTGCTGTTCATAGGGTTGCTATGAGCTGTCATCGTCTTGATGGCACCTAACAACAACAACAATATGAGACATAGAGCTAATTCTGGTGGCCGAGTGGTAAGGAGTTGAGCTGCCAACCCAAAACCGTTAGGTTTGAGTCCACTATCTGCCCCAAGAGAGAAAGATGGACCTAAGTGATTTATAGTCTCTGAAACCCACTGCAGGGTTAGCTGTTAGTTCTGAATCGACAACATGAGACACAGATCCAAGGCAAGGCAGATTTGTGTATTACAAAATGAGAACTAAAGGTGCAGGGCAGTATCCAGGGAGGCAGATGAGTGACAGACGTGTGGGATGTGCTTGGAGGACTTGTCAGGCAGATGGAGGCTCAAGCATAACTGATCGTTGTTTAGATAATATGTATCCAATACTTTGCTGATGGAATTCTGTAGGAGGGAAAGAGTGATTCTAAAGTTGAGTTAGTACTCCATTGGGTTTATTTGAAGTGAGTTGTTAAGAGTTTCTGACAACAGATTTTTAAAAAATGGCATTTAGTAAATACTGAAGACATTATTTCACTATTTTTGAGCTGCTGTTGGTAGATAGATGAACTCTTTTTTTCCTTTATTATCCCAAACTGGCCTTCACTTGGAGCAGGCAAGAAGCAGGATTTAGGGAGAGATTGGATTTTGGTATAAGTTTAAGGAGAAGAGAGTTAATCAAGCAATATCAATATACATCTTATCCATTATGATTCACATATTAGATTATATTTTGTCTTTGTTTTTCTTTTTATGTAGTTTGGGAACTTACTTGCTGTTTTGTATACTTTGAACTCTGTTTAGCAAATCACCTGTTCCTGTTTACCCTGATGATAATCCTCAACAAACTTCAAAGGCAAAATATTCTAAAGAGTTCCTTGAAAACTTTTTAAATAATGATAATGAGGTGGGTGAATTAAGTCTCGCTGAAAGAACATACATACTAATGTAAGGATATTAATATCTAATTTGTCTGGATAATTTAAAATAAATCAAATTATGCAAGTCCATTTCTTCCTAACACTAACCTGTCACACCTTCCAGAATTATTGACCATTCTGTTTTTGTATTCTCAAGTAAGACTAGGTTTGAATTATAGAAGAACATAAAATGTCATTATGTATTTTTTATTTCCGGGAAAACATACCATAAAGCAGACAATTACAAAATTCTGTTTTCCCATAGAGAAGTTAATTACTAAGATGTGTTTCTCCCAGAGATAGCACTATAGGTGTTGTAAAAAAATGAGGCCCCAGGAGTTGACAGAATACCAGGCGAGGAGCTTCCACAAACAGAGCAGCTGCGAATGTGCACATTAGCCTATTGCTGAGAAATTCGGAATGTAGCTACCAGGTCAACTGAATGGAAGAGATCCCCATATACCCATTCCAAAAAATAGGTGATCAGTGTTATTGTTAGGTACCTTCGAGTCAAAACTGACTCATAGCTGACCCTCCAGCTTCAGAGGCAGCAGATCACATGGGAGCTAATGGCCCATTTTTCTTTTTCTTTTTTTGCCCATTTTTCTTTTATGGAGAAAAATTCCTCCCTGCGTTTCCTCTTTCCATTCAGCCATCTCTTCTATGCCTGCTTTCTGAGCTTTTCTCTAGGCTGATGCTACCTTTTTGACGTTGTGTGGCTGATTATTCTAAACCTCCCTGAGGGCATGCATCACTTTTCAGGCCTGCCTATCATTGGACTAGACATTGAGTTACAGGAGTATTTTCACTTTGAGGCCGGAAGAGGAGTAGGGGCCATGCTTTCAGAGGTTCCTGTAATCTTTGACGAGTAAAACTGGGCTTTTCTTATTTACTCCTTTTGAGTTTTGTTGCATGTTTCCCTCCTCTGTCAAGGACCTTCTGTTGTGATCTCAGAGTCGTCAGCAGGGCTCACTGAGCACCATCTACATCCTTTGGTCTCAAGGCTGAAATGTACATGGTCTCTAGTCCTTTGCATTTTTTCCTGGAAGTGAAACTGTTGTGTCATACAGTAGTTCTTGGTTTGGCTGTCCCCTCAAGTTTATATATTTTGATGTGAAGCTTCAACTTCACCCTTTTGGTTTGACTTTTGAAGAACCTCCAGCTGCTTTCACAGTAGCTACACCATTTTACTCTTTCAAGAGTAATAAGTTAGAGAGGGCTCCAACTTTACCACCTCTTCATCCACATTTCCTGTATTTTTTTTATAATAGTCATCCTCGTAGACGTGAATTACATCTCAGTGTGGTTCACTTGCATTTCCCTAATACTGTTGTTGTCGTTGAGTGGTACGGAGTTCGCTCTCCCCTCAGCTCAGAGTGACAGCGGAAGGAAGGTCTGCCTGATCCTGTACCGTCCTCAGAATCTGCTGCCCTTGAGCTCATGGTTGACGTCTCCCTGTCTGTCAGTCTCACTGAGGAGCTTCCTCTCCTTGGCTGATCCTGCACTTTGTCATGATGTCTTTCCGAGGCCTGACCCCTCCCGTTAGGTCTCAGGTCTGTGAGGCAGACTCTCCATCTTTGCTTCTGAGGAGGCTTCTGGCTGTCCTTCTTGATTCGTTTACTGTTTTGACAGCCCGTGATATACTGAGTACTCTTTGGCAACACCACAATTCAAAAGCATTGATTCTTTTTTCCATCTTCTTAGAACACCGAACACTCAACTCAGTGTTTATATCCATGTGATGCAGTTGCAAATACCTTGGCTCGATTCAGTTGCCCTCTGGTCTTTAATAGAAGGATCAGCAGTCTCTTCTGTGTGATTTAGTGCTTCTGAAATCCCGCTGGAGGGTTCACAGTGAGTTGGTTCTGTTTGAACTAAACAACACACACAACAAACAGGTGTCTTTAAAATCTTGTAGCTACGAGAAAAGGAGTTTTCTGGAGACACGGTAAGCAACCTGTCCAGTTGTCCGCATTTCAGCATGGCCCCTCCGTGGAACCACTAGCAGAGAAGATCTTTAAAGGAATCTTAGTAACTGAACTTATTGGTGTTTTTGGAGTTAGCTTTTTGTTTAATAAAATGAATAAGCCAAGATTTCAGAGAAATAAAGATTAGAAATTTTCCTTCATCTTGGAAGTTTATTAAAATCCATTGGAAAAAAAAGAGCGTATATTAGCATAAAACTAAGGAAATTATAAGAGATGAAAAGAAGAGTTCTCACAACAGGAAAGATGGCAGAGAATAAAAATGGTGGGATTCAGTAGATGAAGAGAAATGCAAGTTGTTACACCTGTTTTGTCATTTCTTTCAACCAAAAACTACAAGTATTTATGTAAAATATATCATGAGTAAGGATAGTCCACAATATTTTATAATGAAAAACTGAAAAAATTCAGACTGATTGTGTAATGTACTCCACACTTAAAATCAGAATAAGGGTAATAATGCATGTACATAATAAAGTTATTATAAAAGATTCTTAACTGTAAAAAAAAAGGAATAAATGTTGTATAAAACCGTTAAAAAATCCATTGAACAATCTGGAATATGTAGAATTGGTCTAGAATATGTAGAATTGGAGAGCAAGATCAAGAAAAATGGCTAAGTAGCAGAAATTAGGCCCCATCAACACATCAGCTTCCCATTTGATCTATTTGAGAACTGTGGAAGGAAGAGAAGGAAGACTAGCCCACTCCACTGTGGACTGTCCATGGTTCCAAAGAGTGGCTGAAGCTGCTCTACCGTGGACTGTCAGCGGTTCCACAGAGCATCTGAGCCCACTCCACTGTGGACTGTCGGCACGGAGCATCTGAGGCCACTGTACTCCCCCATGGATGTCAGTGGTTCCACGTTCCACAGAGCGTCTGAGCCCGCTCCACCATGGGCTGCCGGCGGTTCCACAGAGCGTCTGGGTGACTGCTGTGACCTGATACTCACTCCACATCCACTGCACAATACCCACTGCCTGCTGCTTGCTTTGTGTATTGGTAGTTAATACTCTACATACATGTATGACCAGTAAAAAACTTAGGACTAGGAAAAAAATCTTCTAAGCCATTATGCTAATGTGGAATATCTTTACAAATGAAAGGCCAGTTCTGACCTTTTTAGGCATGTCAGCAACTTCCTCTGCAATTGAAGTTTACATAATTATTACACACATTACACTATCTATACTCAAATATTCTAAAGCATTTACAGCCAGTTTAACAGACCGATTTGCCATTATAGGTAGCTGTCAGGATACATCAAGAAATGAAAAAAAAAAAGTAGGTGGATAAGGGTTTTAAAAACATACCGTCAGATTGTCTTAAAAGAATCAACTGTCTAATGTAGCTAACTGTGTTCACCTTCTGTGAATGCAGACAAGGTCGGTGCCCATTGGGGTTTGAATGTTCCTTAAATCAAGGAGTGCACTGCCCGTGGAAAGTGGAAAATCCACGGTACATGAACAATATTTAGGAGTGTGCAGTGAATACCACCACTCCAGCTCTAGTCCTCGCCTCTGTGACAATCAGCTTCCTTTACACATCTGAAAAAATCTGCCTTACATGTTCATGAGAACCTTCTGAGTTCTAAAAATTGATGATGTTCTGTGCACTGAATGAATTTGTTACGAATGAGCAAAACTAGGGAAGGTAGACCACACTCTCAATAATGGTTGATTAGTGGACTGAACATGGAGAGTTGATAGAATTTTTTTTAAACAATATTGACATGTATTTGGGTATTTTTTACTACAAAAGTATAGGACTAATTCATTGTTTGTAAAATAATGCATTAATTTTATGTAGAAAGAAAATAGAAAATACAACTCTTCTCACCCGAGTTTACAAGGTTGATCACGTAATCCTCTCTTTTAATCCTAGAGCTGTACTCTCTCAGGAGGGAAACACCATGGTCCCGTTGAAGCCTTGAAGCAAATGTTGTTCAACCTTCAAGCAGTCCAAGAAAGTTTCAGTCAGAACAAATGCACAGAGTTAGTGGAAGGAGCTAAGCAGGTAAGCACACATGAGATTTATGAATTGAGAGCTGAGAACTTATATAGGTTTTTCCTTATATCTTCTTAGACCTATTTCCCAATGTATGTCAATGAACAAAAGGTTTCTTCCTATGTCTTTTTAGACCTATTTCCTGATGTATGTTAATAAGCAGAACCCTTATTTCAACTTTTTCTTTTTTAGGAAATAACCATACTTAATACTCCTAGATTTCAGCAGTAATTTACCTCTGAGTAAATTGTTCTGTTTTGTGTAGATCATGGTTATGAATGAAAATCTTACTTAGATGTTACAGCTACAGTTTAGAAAGTCATATTTGTGTGCTGAAGACAGGATACATGATCAGAAAAGAACTAAGAAAACATTGTGGCTCCAGATTCTCCAGGATGCATGAGTACTACTTGTTTGTTGTTACGTGTCCTCAAGTCACTTGCAACTCATAGTAACCCTGTTTACAACAGATCAGAACCTGGCTCTATCTTGAACCAGCCTCATTGTCTCTGACACACCTACTCCCATTACCCCAGTCACTGAGTCAGTCCATCTTTATCCAGGGTCTTCCTCTCTCGTGCTGTCCCTTCCCCCTTCTAAGCATGATGTCCCTTTCCAAGAACTGGCTGCCCTTCTGACATGCCCAGAGTTTGTCAGATGGAGCTTCAGAATCCTTGCCTCTAAGGTGCAGGCTGGTCTCACCCTCTCCTATTTTGAAAATATGCATACATCATTCGCTGTATGAAGACTGTTTTCCGCTCTAATTTGTTTTAGAGAAATTTATCTGCCATTACCTTCATGACTTTAAGTGGCTTATTATATGTATCTAACTAAAGTGTTTGTCGATTTGATCACCTTAAGATATTTTTGACCTGTGTCTCCGAGTTAGGTGGAACATAGGCACCTTGCCTTTCAGATGGCCCATAAACAAGGCGTGACAGATAGTATTTGCAAATTAGGTTGGCCCTGCCTCCTTCAGAACCAGAACCCAGGCTCTCCCACTGAGAAGGTAGGCTGTCTTCTTCAAGGTCATAGACCAAGAGCAAGTAAAAGTGCTCCAGAGTTGTCTTGTCATCTCACATTGCCTTTTTCTTAATTAGTGTTTGCTTGCAATTAACGTTTGATGACTTTTCAGGATTCTAACACAGTTGATTTTGACAGGTTTTGGTTGTTTTTTTTCAGTGTTTCCATGAGGGATGGGAGTTTGCAATCACTCCTCTGTTCTGTGCTTCTCTTTTAAACTTCCTCAGATGTAACTTTGTCTAGTAAAGTCTAGTTTTCAAACCTAGATTTAGTTTCTCATAAACATGCACTTAGCATATTCTAGCACAACTCAACGATGAATCTAAATAGTATTGTTGTATGTAGTTGAAGCAGAATCGACTTGTAGCTGATCTTTCACTGGGTTTTCAGAGGCTCTAAATCACACAAGAGGAAGATTGTTCATCTTTCTAGTATTGTGGTATTTTTAAAACAAAGAAAATAATGTGCTCCTGAAAATTATTTGCGAGAATTAGAAATGCAGATAGTATTTTTAATATCTTACCAGATTTTAAATAGTATTTATGTTTATAATATCCATGTTTTGTTGTGTTACTATTTTCATATTATTAATATTTTGTGTTTTTAATAATAGGTTTCAGAAGATGAATTTTCTAAATTGCAGTTGAGTGAAAGTATGATTCCTATTACTCGATCACTTCAGAAGTAAGTATTTTTTTTTTAAATGTGTCTGTTAGGTACAAGTCCCTTTTTATTTCTTTTATTGACTTAATGTTACACCATGGGATTATTCAGTACTTCCAAGAGTAGATGTACCAAGTATATTTAAGCTCATTTTAGAGCTCATTACAGTTTTTTCTTAAATTTTTACTATGTCCTATTAAAATCTTGGGACCTGGATACTTAGAAACAAAACAAAAAAAAACATAGTAGTAGATTTGACCTAGATAGATTTTTTTTCTTTTTGTTTTTTAATAAAAGCAGTAGGTGGAAATCATCTTGGTGTGTAGAAAACATCTTGGTGTGGCTATCCCATTCATGAAAAGTGTTTTGATACTTTTTCCTCTTAACTAAAGTTTAAGTGTTAAGTGTATCATTGTTTGACATCTTTTCACAGAAATCTATAAAGGACATGCAGTTTTCGAATAAAGATAGCTCTGAATGAACACATAGGTGTTAATTCACCTTTTTTTTAAAAACTATATTGTTTTAAAGAGGGAGCTCTGGTGGTCTAGTAGTAGGTGAGAAAGTTGTGCTGTCCACCAAAGGGCACATAGTTCAAATCCACCAGCTACTTTGCAGGAGAAAGATGGGCATTCTCCTCTTGTATGATTTACTGCCTGGGAAAACCCACTGGAGGGTCAGCTATGAGTGGGTTCCAACTCTATAGTACACACAACAATAATAGGAACATTGTTTTAGATAAAAAATGAGGAAGAATCTTTTCTATAGGCATGACATTGACACAAGAGGAGGCTCTTAATTTATGGGTTTAGTTATGTGAATATGAATTGTTCTTATGTCATAACTGAGTTTAAGAAATTGTAGGAATAAATAGTTTTTACCTTTGAAACATTATTTTCACTTGGTTAGAAATTGGACTGAACAAGCACTAATGAATGCTTTCAGAATTTGCATAGAATTCTATTTTTTAAGGGACAAATGAATAAGTGAACATTAAACTTGTAAGTTACCATGATATGTTTATATTTTTATGATAAAAAAATCAAAGGCAGAATTTTTTTCTTCTTCTGTTTATAATCTTTAGACTAGAAACGATGCCTTTCTTTGTAGCTTGCCATAGTACTTGGATATAATATTCCATATCTAGTAGAATTTAATGGGTAATGATGATAATAAGTGACATTAAATGAACTTTTACAAGTGCTAGTTTTCTAAGTGCTTTTTTAAAATTGTATACTAGTTCATTTACAAAATTCAATTTCATTGTTTTTGAGAACAGATTCTTTCCATTTCCCTCACCCTCCCGCCCATCAAATTGTACACCCCCATGATTGATTCCCCCTCCCCCTGCACTAAGTGCTTTTGAGTAAAAGTCATTTGATCTTCTTAAGCCTTTGTGGGGTATATGAGGGAACCAGCATGGAAAAGAAAGTAACTTGCCTGCAGTTGCCTTGCTAGTGAGGAGTAGCCCTGGATTAAATCAGACCATCTCATTCTAAAGCCTATGTTGCTAATCATTGTAATCTTAACACATCACTCTTTAAAATGATGGTGAGTTGCCCATTTCAACTAGGTACAGAGCCTCAACTAATCACTTAGGCTGAAGATTTAATTTTGCTTTTAGTATTTAAGGTAAATGATTTCTGCTTTTCCATTGCTCTTGACAGCATTTACATTGAACTGTGTCATAACCCTGAATATATTTTCTGAGTTAAAGTACATTCTCTGGAAAATCCCGTTGTTGGTAATAATGAGCAATACGAAACCTTAAATAATTAAACCACCACAAAAATTGGTGATAACTCAAGGTTAACAATTTGCTACAATCAGTAGTTTTTTCTACATAAAGAATTCCATTTTCAGAGAGAGCAGGAGTCATTTTTTTTTTGATGTTTTGTTAATTATGTTGGATTAGCTGAAAAATTTAGATTTAACTATTTCACAGCTATTAGTAGTCTTTATTATAAAGAACAAGTTTAGACTAAAAAATGCATGTTAGTACATTTTCCCTATCTTTTTGATTGAGTATTGTAAGAACAATTTAAAATTTATTAAGATTCAGGATTCATTTTTCTAGACTACAGAATGTTCATAACAGGCACATGGACATTTCATATTTGCAAATAGGTCAAATCAGCATCTTCACAAGCTACAGTTCTACCTGTGGGTGCTTTTATGATCTACCTTTGGGTGCTTTTATGACTTTTCTCAGGTGGAAATCCTCAAATAATAGTGTTTGCTTTTAGAAATGCAGATGTCTAATGCATTTTCAGATACTTCTCAGTAGCCTTGGTGGACTTCGGGCCCCTTCATTTGCATTCTCTTCACTTTATTGGACACTCAGTTTTCCTCTGCTCTCCCTTTTGAAATATCTGCTCTGTGGAAAGATTCATTGGCGATGATGGCTAAATGGCTGATAGTAGCTTATAGTGTTGTTGGTTTACAGTGATTTGCATCTTAATGGGAATCAGAATGTTAACTGTTTTGTTAAAAATTCATTTGAAATGTGTTAACCTCTACAACAGCAATTTGGCATACTTAAGCAGATAAAATTGTAGTTTTTTTAAGCAGGGAACTTTCCTAGAGCTTTTTTATTTATTTTTGTGGCATTATGCCCAACCAAGTTGGCATTCATTTACAATGATACATGTATTCCTCAAGTTCTTGGTTATGTAATGTGGGCAGCCAGCTCCCCTGCCTAGGTGAGTTGGAAAGAATGAGTCCTAGTGTATTGTTCACCCACTATAAAGCCGAGGAACAGTAATCTCATGCACAACCTCCAGTTTCATCCAACAATAGATTTGGCTTTGAAATAGCTTGCTTTATATACTTTGAAAGTGAAAGTTTAAATTTCTTTATTTCTCAAAACTGAATGAATGAAGACCAAACAGTGAAGATCAAACTTAATGATAACTAGAAAGTTACCCATTTTTCTAGTCTCTCTATTCACTTTTCTGGTCTTATATCCATACTAGAGAGAGACAGAATTCTCTCTTGGACTGGCAAAATTGAATCGAAAGCAAAGGTTTTTCTAATGAACCTCATACTTGACATAGATTTAGGAGGCACAGGAAGGCGTCAGTTCTGGATTCTAGTCTGGAAGTGTTAGGCTGTTGTTAGGTTCCATCAAGCTGTTCTGACTCAATAGGGACCCTGTGTGAAAGGATGACCCGCTGCCTGGTCCTGTGTCGTCCTCACAGTCCCTGACGTGCTTGAGTCATTGGTACAGGCATTGTGTCAGTTTCTTAGCATCTTCCAAACTGAGGGGCTTATCTTCCAAAACTGTAGCAGACAGTGTCTTGTTGCTGCTGCTGCTTGTCAAGTTTTCATGGTTATTTCAGAGGTAGGCTACGAATTCTGCTTTTTAGTCGGTCTCAGTCTGGAATCTGTGCTGTCACCTGTGCACTGTGGGTGACCCTGCTAGTATTTGACATACCATGGCAGAAGGTCCAGCAGCACGTAGCCACCACAGTCACTAACTGATGGGGGAGAAAGAGGGGTGGTCTAGGCTTAACAGAGGCCAGTAAATAGCACAGGGAATTCTATACAAATGCGGTCTTTAACACTGCTTTCCTCTGTCTCCTTTCTAGAATGGAATGGAGCATCTATTTCCTGTAATATACATTTATCGAATATATGAAGTGTTAGACACTATAGAATGGAATGTTGTAGTCACTGTCTTTGAAATGACTATATAAGAAATTATTGCATATCATAATTATTCTCTCTCTGTTTTTCTTAGTATTTTTCTTATTTATCAGATATCTGAAATGTGATTGATTGACATTTTCTGAGTGGTCCTCAAAGATCTGAAGGATAGGGGAGAGGAAAACCTGCAAGAATATTTTTAGAGGAAGCCTGGAAATTTAAGGGCCTCTCTTTTCCTGGTTTGTTTGAGGAATGATTGCATTTCTTCACAGAGACGTGACCTACAATCTTGGCTTTATTTTAGAGAAAATTCCAGGTTGTTGGTATAATATATTATTGGTGCCCCCGAACTTCCTCCCCAATAAAAATGAGTTTTCCTCTGAATTAAATTTGATCCCTCAGTGATGTTTTTTTTTAAAAAGTCAGCCATCCTGATTGTAAATGTTAACATGAATTATGCATTATATTAATATAACATGTACATCATATTAAAAAAAGTGAAGAATCACATGCAAACATGTTTGATCAGATGTGATACAAATGATTATTGTTTTTTAGGTTACTTGGCAGATTTGCTTTAAACTCAGTTTGTATACCAATAGCAATAAAATTTGAACAACTAAATGTTTATAGAAATTACTTTTCTATTATTTAGAACTCAGGTTATAAGAAAAATGATGCAGTTTCATGTTTGCATTATTGTCTTCTAGTTTTGAAGTTAAAAGCAATGTACTCACTTTTCTTACTGCTTTGTTGCCTTTCGGTCCTTAAGTGTTGGTTTATAATGTGTTCTATACTTTTTAATGAAGGGCTTTGCACCATTTATCTCGCCTGAGAGACCTGGTTGATGATAGCAGTGGGAAACAGTCACCGAAAACGTGAAGAGGAAAATAAAAGTGCATAACCAATAAATAGTCACTGCCAAACAAAAAATGTTTTTATTTCTTTTAGCTGACAAAATAATTACAAGCCATATATTGTTCTGTGACTGGTCCAGTATTATGTGTATTTCTAAAAACACAAACTTGAGAATGTTCACAGGTGTTGTGACCCATCCTCATTTTGTAATGAAATAAAAGACTCTGATATGGGAAGAACCCATAGAGATCCCAAAAGCCTGATTTTGGTCTTTAGGCCTCTGAAGTTTGATATTCAAATGTCTGGTATTCAAATGAGTAATGTCCATTCTTGAAGGTTTACATGGACAGATACCTTTTTTCAGCATCCTTGTTATTATCTGACTCCTGTTAATGAAAATCTTTCAGGTTTCTGTCCAAAGTCTTCTAAGTTAAAAAGACTCTTGATATGCGGAGAATCTGCACTTAAAGAACTAAAAGGATATCAGAATTGATAAGATGTGCCTTATCTATGTAGAAGTCTGTTAACTTTGTTTTTATAAAGAAAATATTTAAGATATATTGTATAAACACATCCATCTAATAATAGATGGTATAATGTTGAAAGTAATTTTTCTTTATATTGTAGAATTAGATTTTCATTTAATAAATACTTTATGAGTAAGGTGATTTTGGTAATAATTTACAGTGTTCAAAACATTCTTTTGGGGTATTTAATAATTTAATATTTTAATATTGGATCATTTTATTTTTTTTTTTTATTTTTTTATTTTTTTTTTTTTGGATCATTTTCCAGATTTTAATTTTACCATCAGACTCTTAGCTTAGCTTAGACTAGTAGAAACTATAAGTGGCCACTTGCTTTGTGAAACTTTGTAACTAACTGAAGGAAAATTGATAGGGAAATATGAGAAAGCAAATCACTATTTTAAAGCTATTTTGTGAGAGTTGCAGTTTCTCTAAATCAGTCCTGTTGAGTTTTTGTACCTAGAACTGAGCAGAGCAGAAAGCATTATTAGCAACAAATCAAGAATTAAATCATGAAGCATGACTCATGCGTATTTTAAAAACACTCTCAAATGAAAGAATTTCTCTATATACAAATGCTGCAAATTAAATTTTTACCCAACTGACAGCATTTTGCTAAATATATTCCCTGCCAACAAGCATGACTTTGTAAACACTTCATCAAATAATTGGTGTAAATTGCTGGGACACTGCTCAATACCTTTGTTATTACTGACATGTCAAAGGCCATAGAGTTAGTTGTATCCTTTTTCTTAGCCAATTTTTGTAATTATACAGTGGCATCCACTTCCTAAATAACATGCCTCCGGAAACTCTGTGAATTTTCATACATATCAATTATAGAGGTGCTTCAGGCCTTCTGATCATAGGGTCGCTATGAGTCGTGCTCGACTTGAAAGCAATCAACAACAACTGCTCTTTGCCCAGTTTAAAAGGCATTTACATAAAGGTTTTTGTCACTTGTCTGGTGGAGGCCTTTCTGCCACTGACTTTTTGTTTTCGGATTATAGTCTTTTGTTTTAAAGCTTTTACTTTGTATAATCAAATATGGAGTTACTTTGATGTTTAAAGTAAAGCTAGATGTTAAATAGAGCATAATGCTCAAGAAATTCTCTAAAGAAATAATTTAACTGATACTTAAGAGTTTTTTTGCTGCTTTCTGAGGTTTCCTGAGGGAAAAGGGGACAACAGTATAGAGACTGCTGAGTTGGAAATATGAACTAAAGTAGATAATGAAAATAAATGGGTTTTATAAAATGCATTGTGAACAAAATTTATCAACTATTTATGCTCACGCTTACATCTTTTGATAAAATATTAAGTGGGAAAAATTCAGAAATTTGAGTAGGATTTCTCAGAATTTTGTTGAGTATGAAAAAAAGGTTATAAAACTGAATTCCAAAAGTTCTCTAAGATCATGTCACTGATATGTGAAAATTCAAGACCCAAATGCCCATCATTGCCCCACCTTTTCAGGTGCCCACTGGATCTTTGCTAATTCCTTCACCCCTCGCCCTGCCCACCATGCTGTACAACCTTGTCTAGGGCAATACCTTTATTTCCATTGCAAGAAAAAACAAATTACAGTTTAAGTAGTTTTGATTGATGATTCTAATCCTGGCTTCTTAAATAACATTGGGAGGTAAAGATAAAAAGAGAACTCATCCTTTAGTTATATGATTCTCTGAATTCTTTTTAAAGCGAAGTAAGCAAAATATGTTTTTGAGAATTCTTTTTTTGTTGTTGCCAATGTTCATCACATAGCATCAGTCGTTGTGAAGGCCTTTTGGGTGATTTAGTAAGCCTTCTGACTCATTGAGCCAACAAACTGTTAACTATGAAAAACAGGTAAGATATAAATAATACCCTAGATCTGAAGGAGAATACCCAAGGAGAGAGGCATTTAGGAGGGCTCTTTCCCAAAGGCTGGTATTCAGAGATTATTGGAGAAGGTTTAGCTGCAGCTTAGTGAATGGCAGAGAAGTTTGTTGGCTTAACCAGAGTTCATCTTTGGTTGCTGGACAAGCAGGTAGCACTCTTACAAATACAGGGAAAGCAGCACTGGTACCTGGCTGTGCAGGCCTGCAGAGGGCTTGAGGGGACTCCAGGCTTGAGAGGACACCCAGGTCCTGAAATGTTTGTGCTGCTAGTGGCATGGCAAACTTATCACCAGTGTGAACCAGAACTATGAAGGGGTCAAGGAACTGAACGTTCTGAGAATGCAGTTGAGCTTGGCTTCACTGGGCATTTGCACCTGGAGATACATACCTGCAGGGTGAATCTGGACCTGGGAAATAATCTGACAACTGACGCAGAGATTGATCAAGTTCCAGAGAGATTTTGGTGGGAAACAACATCACAAGACAAAAAAAAATGCCTCACCTTTTCATCTTTGTCCTTCCTGCTGTGCAAATGTATCTTGCATAGACGGTGTTGCTGAGTGGCATGAGAGGTTAAGGATCCAACTACTTACTATCTGATAGGTTGTGGTTTGATTCCACTCAAGAAAGGCCTGGTGATCTGCTGAAAATCTACAGCTTTGAACAACCCCTAACATGCAATTCGGGGTGCACATACGAGGTCTCAGAATCATTTTGATGGCAGCTAGATTTTTGTTTGTTTTTTTTGTTGCATCCTGTGCATCAGAGACCTAGATAATGACTGAGGATGACAGAAGAATAATTGATGCCTTTGAGTTGTGCTGGGAAGAGTCTTGAACATACCATGGACCACCAAGAAAATAGGTCTGACTTGGAGAGGGTGAAACCAGATTTCTCCTTGGAGGCGAGGATTTTGAAGCTCCATCTCAGATACTTGGGGCATGTGGTCAACAGGCACTGATCCTTGGAGAAGGACATCATGCTCAGAAGGATTGGAGGGAAAGTGCAGGAGAGGAAGACCCCAGATGAGATGGGTTGGTACAGTAACTAGGGCAATAGGGGTAGATGTGACGGAGTCAAGGGAGACTGGCTCAGGACAGGACAGGTAGGTTTCAGAGCTGTTGTATATAGGGTTGCTATAGAAAAGAGTACTGAATGTACCATGGTCTGCCAGGAAAACAAAAAGATTCATCTTGGAGAGGATTAAACCAAGCTACTTCTTGGAGGCAAGGATTCTGGGGCTTTGTCTGACATACTTTGGACATGTTGCCAGGAGGGACGGGTCCTTGGAGAGGGACATCATGCTTGGGAGGGTGGAGGGATGGTGCAGGAGGGGAAGACCCTCTATGAGATGGATTGATTCGGTGACTGGGGTAATTGGGATGGGTGTGTCAGAGGCAGTGCGGTTGGCGCAGGATAGAGCAGGGTTTAGGGCTGTTGTGCATAGGGTCGCTATGAGTCAAAAACGACTCGACGGCACATAACAACAACAACATAAGTCACAGGTGACTTGGCAGCACATAACAGCAATGCATACTCAGTCCTAACAAACCACGTGGGCAGATAGTCCAGTGAAAAATCTTTGGTCATACTTTAGCAAGTTAATAACTATTACAGGAAATTGATGAGCTGGAAAACTGGAGATGTTTTATCTATTGTGAAGTTAAATGAATGGCACTCTCCATCAGAGATAGGAACATAGTGCACTCCTGGGGATTTTCATTTAGACGGCCGTATGTGAACATCTTTTGCAATAGAATAATCCCTGTTGTTAAGTGCTGTTGAATCATAGATGACTCATAGCGCGACCCTGTGAACGAAAGACCTGAACAATTGTATAACTCTCATCGTTTCTCCAAGTTCATAGAGTTTCCAGAGGCAAGCTATTTCAGAAATGGATGTCACTCTTGTTTCCAAGCTTGTTTTAATTGGGAGCGCCAAACACTGTCCACCATGGGTAACCATTATCACATTTGACACATCAGTGTCACAGTGTTTAGCATCACAGCAACCATGAGTTACCTCTGTACAGCAATGCACAGAACAGTGCTATACAACCTAGAAGAATGTTTGACCAAAAACAAAAAACAGGCCTGAGGGCTACAGATTAAAGTCACCCGCTTTGGCTTGGTAGCATCGCTTTCTATCCACTAGGCCAACAGAGCTCTCTCAAGGTTAAGTGCTGTTGAGTTGTAGACAACGCATAGCGACCCTGTGAATAAAAGACCTGAACACTTGTATAACTTCCATCATTTCTCCAAGTTCAAGAATAATCACTGCAGTTGGGACACTGCTTTTCTTCAATTAAGCCAGTTTTCCATTTCTTCCACAAATTGATCCTAATTCATGACAGTCTCTCCTTACACATTTCATTCTTTCAGATACTGAGGCCAAACAAAATGCTTTCATCCTTCCATGTAGACTAAGTGTGTCTAGTCTCCAGATTATTTCTTTGGGTAGAATTTTAGGCTTCATTGCCATAATTACTTAACTGTCTTTTCTGGGTACCTTGTAGCTTTCTGTGTTCCACTGAAAGTGTGACACCAAGTATCAGTGATGAGAGGCTCTGTATTTGATTCTTTAATTAACAGTAACTCCGTACAACCAACTTAGAATT